AAAAAGAAAAAAATGAATATATCAGAGATGAGGACTATAACACAGGATAGGGTAAGATTCAGATCTGTTGTTAATAGGGTGGCTATGAATTGTAGTCAACTTGATGGTGTGAACAGAGAAGAATGACGACAGATAAGTTACCTGTTTACTTTAAAAATTCAACTTTCTGATGGAGCTCTGGTGGCCTAGGGGCAAGAAGTTGCACTGCAATCCCAGAGGCACATAGTTCAAATCCACTGGATGCTCTGCTGGAAAAGGAGGGACAATCTCCTCCTGTACCAGTCAGATCCGATTTCACGGTACACGCACACAAAATAAAATAAAATTAAGAAAAAAAAAATCCAACTTTATGATTTTGAGTCTGTAAAAAAATAAAAAGCTTAACTTACACCAAGGATGGTTTGTAATTACAATGAGATTGTATTCATTGAAAGAAATATTGGGTCAATTTTTTATTCTTCCCAAGAGACCAACGGATATCCACATACCTTCAGGTTGGCAGTGTAACTCCTTAGTACCACATCACCATCATTTCCTCCTGTTTCAATAGATCCCAAGAAGCCAAAAGCCTCCATTACTCAATTACTGTGGAGCAATGTGCTTACACATGCAGTGACCTACCTTATCTCCTTGACTGCAAATTTTGAAAGTTAGAGAACATTAAAATAATTTCACTCACAAAATGAACAGTGCAGTAACAATCTCTAGTCAATTATGAAACATCATTTACAAAGATATTACCAGTCTTCTTAATTTATTTTTAATAAGTAAAAAATTATTCAGTGGTCCTGTACAAAAAAAAATAAAATCATTAATTTTTGCATATGGTATTTCAATCACCAACAGTGATTTCACAGTACAGAAATAAACAAAACAGACAATGAGAAAAACCATCAATAATTTTACCCTGGCTTTCCGGCTTAGCAGCACTATGTAGAAGAAATTTTAGAGATACACATTCTCTTTGGGGATAAAAGGATTGAAAAAAAATGAACTTAATTCTTGATGATTTTACTTACGTCTTCTAAAGTAATGGTGTCTATAAACAGGAATTAATGGCGTGGTTTTAAATTTTCTTCTGAAGAGATCTGGAACTAAAGTCAAATATAAACAAGCTATCATATCACCTCTTAGAATTTATGAAGGGCTTCCTGGAAAATAATAAATTACTGTCATAGAGCAAAGTGAAAGGGGGGATTTTATATACAAAAGTTCTTTTATTGTTGCTAATCAATAAAGATCCAAGTCAGAGTTCTGATATGCCTAAATTAAATTTTAAGTAACATTAATGTTAAACATTATACTTGGGATATGTATAATGGCAGAAAATAAGACACAAGAAAGGTAGTGGCTTATTTCTAGGCAGCCATTTCCCTAAGAACTCATGTCTATGTCTTCTCATCTTCCAATGTACATATTACCCTTTAATCAGACAAACTGACCCCTTACCCACAAAGACAGTTTCCCAATTTTTAATGACAATTTTACAGAAAAGGAAATAATTCAGCTTGTTGACAAAGTAAACTATTTCCACATGAAATAAGCAGGAAGTAAATCAAAGTGCAAAAATAACAAAATTGTAGTAATACTGATGTGAATCTACTTTTTATAATAGTTGGTCTGAATGGGTGGGAAAAACAGAAGTAGCAAAAGGGAAATGACTCTTTGTAGTTGTAAAATGCCAATGCTTCAAAATGTATGATAATCTCAGAAATAATCACTTGCTATTCTCACTGAGTTTACATAGTGTTAAAAGTACTTTAATTTTAATGAAAGCACTTCTGCAATAACTAGTATCAGAAAACAAATTTTTATCAAGATATAAAAAAATAAATTTTTATTTTAGTCAATATCCTCCTTTTGGAAATGGGAGAATAAGATAATAAGCTTCTCTCTAAAATAAAAATGAGTATTAATTTTTTCTGTCCATCTGAGTGCTGGAAGAAAAAAAAAAAGACTCTACTAGTGAAGATCTTTTAATTTCTAGTTTTCATCTATTTCTAAGGACATTCCCATCACAAAACTTTTTCTTTCATATACTATGGCAATCAGGTTTAGAGTTTCAGATAAATAAAAGCCATATTACAAGGCATAGAGAAGAATCAAATAGCCACATTTATCTGTTCACATTCATGGATTCTTAAAAGGGTTGTCAGTGTCAATATAATACTGTTAATATTTAGCCAAAAGTCATCTGGCCTAATGCTCATGGCTTATAACATTGGTATCAACAAAACAAAAGCGTAATTTGGAGGTGACAGTGATTAACATACTCAAGTTAATATAAAAGAGGTAACAAACAGAAGAGTCTACTTTTAACTGCACAATTTAAAATGTCTACTACCTTTTCGTCCACTGACACCTTCCCCTCATTTTTCCACCGATGTTTAATTTGCAAAGCCTATTTATTCGAAGTGCAGAATGCTAGCCATTACTTGTATAGAAAAATGGGTTTCAAATACTGATTGAAAAGAATTCACGAGAGGGATTAAATCATTTGGATAGCTGCATTTGTTACTTTCCATTTCTTGATCCTTATTCTCTTCTGGCCATGGATAATTTTTCCTTCCTTTTATTCTTAAAGGTTTTTTCAAACACTTGTTTTAATATTATAAAATAGAATTCCAGTTCCAACTCACTTGTAACCAGTGTGTGTTTATGAAGCACTAGACAAATGTATACTATGCTCTAAATGGTTTTACAGTTCTTTGATTTCGTTTCCTACTGGTGTTTCCATTAAATTAAGGCTTCATCAAGAAGAATTCATTCTTTTATGAGCTGATAGTTTTGGATTCCAAATTAAGGGCACTCGTCCAAAAATCAAGTAGTATTGGAGGGACTAATAAAACTTCTGTCAGTCAGTGTCATTACTGAAGTAGTATCTGACTGGGGGTCCAGGTAAGTCTTCATCTCCATCAGTGTCTGGGGCAAATGACACAGTAAGATCCACATATTTCTTTTCAGTAGAAGGTTTCACAAGCTTATGCATTCTAAGAAAAACAAGCAAGAATAAAGAATATGGTGAATTCTAGAATATTAAAGAGTACTTAATAGTACAGAGAAACTTTTGTCTAGATCCTAAATTTATTATTATAACTAACAATTCATTAGTACCAGTAATCAGGAAACAAGGATACACAATGCATTGGGGAAATCTGTAGTTAGGGACTTCTCCAAATTATTGAGGAGTAATAATTTCAGTTTGAGGACTAAGGTGCGTCTAATTCAGACCATAATCTTCTTTCTGATCACTTGTTATAGATCTGAGAGCTGGACAGGGTATAAGGATGACAGAATAAGGAAGAAGAATTGATGCCTTTGATCTGTGGTATTGGAGAAGAGCATTGAACATCCCATGGACAGCCAAAAGAACAAATATGTCTTGGAGAGTGTACAGCCAGAATACTCTTTGGAGGCAAGAATGATGAGGCTTTGCCTCACTTAGTTTGGGCACGTTGTTAAGAGACACCATTCCTCGGAGAGGGACATGATACTAGGAATGACGGAAAGGAGGCAAAGGAGAGGAAGACCCTCAACCAGGTGGGTTGATGTGGTGACTGCAGCAATGGGCTCTTGTGTGTCAGGAAGTGTGAGGATGGCATAGGATAAAACAGGGTTCAGATGTTTTGTTCATAGGGTTGCTAGGAATCATACTCAACTCAACAGCACCTAACAATTCACCTGTTTTTATATATTCATTATCACTCACTCACTCATTGCTGCTGAGTCAGAACTGATTCATAGTTGACCCTTCATTGGATATCTGAGGCTGTAAACTGCAAAGAAAAGGACTGTCCATCTTTCTCCTAGCGAGCTTCTGGTGGACTAAACAGCCAGAGGTGCTCAGCTTTTGATGTAGCAGCACAAATCCCTGAGCTATGCTATCATATTGACCTATTTTCCTTAAGAGAACTCTAAATAAGACACCAATTTACATAACAGTCAATCAACTTGTTGTTGTTCTGTGCCATCCAGCTGATTCTGACTCACAGTAAGCCTATGGTACAGAGAACTATAAATAGTTCCAGGGCTGTAATCTCAAGAACATCTTTCTTGACCAAAGCACTTGCTGGGCTAAAACCAACCTTCCATTTAGTAATTATTAACTATTCTTGCATCACCAGGTTCTTCTGAATATGCTTACATATTTGAAGAGCCCTAGTGGCACAATCGTTAAATACTCAATTACTAACTGAGAGGTTAGCAGTTTGAACACCAAATGTCACTTGGGAGAAAGATAACAGTCTGCTCCTTAAAGATTATAGAACTGGGAGGGAAGATGGCAGAGGTGGAGAGCACAGTGTGAAGAGCCAGAGGGATAGCAGCCTGCGTAGAGAGG